CGAGCGGCGAGTGCTCCGGCGGGCCGCGGGTTGTGGTAAATCAATAACCCCCATTCTCTTCAAAAGGGACTAAAGTTCAGTTCTGCAGTCGAAGGACTCTCAGCAAAGCAATGAATCCGTTTCTGGATCTTCTCCTGTTTTTGGCTACGCTCATCTACTCCTACTTAGAGGCTTTTGTGAAGCTTTTTGTGCCTGTGAAGAGAAAGTCTGTCAGTGGAGAGCTCGTTCTCATCACGGGTGCTGGCCATGGCGTAGGGAGAGCGACTGCCTTCGAGTTTGCCAAGCGTCAAAGCAGGCTGGTTCTGTGGGACATCAATAAGGTAATGGTACAATTCATGTCTTGACTCGTTAATCCCCAAGGCCACTGGGCTTTTCAGAGTGTAAGAAGGGCTGCATACAAACTGCATCCACAGCATCTCCTTCCATGTCCGCTCCCATCGGCTGATGGTCAGCTCGCTGACTGGGACGCTGAGCGCCAGGAGAGGGTTTGGCCCCACTTGCACTGGAGGACGTAGGTGTCTGGGTCCCACAGTTACTCGGTGCTAATCAGCGAGGCAGCATGCACAGCCTGTCAAAAAGTACCTGCAAGAGGGAACACGGTGGTCTGCAAGCTGCTGTTGGAACCGAGGACGTAGGTGTCTGGGTCCCACAGTTACTCGGTGCTAATCAGCGAGGCAGCATGCACAGCCTGTCAAAAAGTACCTGCAAGAGGGAACACGGTGGTCTGCAAGCTGCTGTTGGAACCACTGCCGAGGCTGGCAGAAAAAGGCACACTCAACCAGAAGCCTATTTCTGCAGAGGAGCAGGTTTACCTTCTGCTCGCTCTCTCTCTAGCCCCAGGTATTTAGTGTACTTTGCTGGAAGATGTGTCTCTGTGCTCATATTGATGAGCATTACTGTGCTGAGCTGCGCGCGTGAGCCCTGCTGCCCTCTGGCACAGTTACATATGTAGATGGCTCCTTGCTGCATGTTTACACTAGCCTAAACTCTTTATTTCAGCCAAATTCTCTAGAACGCAAAAGGACCTTGGCAAGTGGAGGATGGACAGGTGCAAACACGCAGACTATGAGTCAGTAGGGATCAAAGCAAATTGTGTGTGGGAGCAATTGGCTGTAGAGAGGGGGTGTGCGGAAAAGGTTTCTGACACAGGGAGTGGATCAGAAACTGCAGAGAAGTTCATCATGTCATCCTGAAGCTGCAAAACAAACCAACCCCAAGACAAGCCCGGCATAAGGGGATGTATAATTTGGGAGGATATTGTTGAACATTTTCAGTGTCTGCTCATGCTACCCCTTATGGCTAAGGCCAGACTCTGGAGGGGTGGAAGGTGGCACAGCACCGGTCTATCGATGTGTAAAGAGCTGCTGTTGTGTTGTCCATGTTCAGTGGAACGGGGGAAAAAGGAATAAATGTATTTGTGAGACAGACCCAGCTTTATTACTGGGAAATACCTTGTAAGGGTGGGTGTAAGCAGGCACTGCAATACAATGCCAAAGGAGGTGGTGGATCCTGAAGATTTTAGGAGTGTGCTTCCCCAGTCCAACTGCCTGCACAAAGGCCTTGTTCCTGGGGGCCATCAGCCTTAAGCAGCAGCTGGGGCTGAGTGGAGCTGCCTGGCCACCCACCCCAGGGACCTGCACAGCTTCTGTCAAGTGCTGAGCTGCCCCCAGGCATCTGTGAACTGAGGCTTTTCACCACACAGGTGCCCAGTGGCATGGCTTTCTGGCACCTGGGGAGAAGGCTACAGCAAAGTCACTTCTGCCCTCACTTAGTGGGTTGGTGTAATGACTGAGGGGTGTTTCTGTTCTCTGTGTGTCAAATGCTGTTCTAGGGAGAAATGTCTCTCTATGGTGCGCGCTTTGGAGCACACCTCTCCCATCAGCCTGTGAGTACAGGAACACATAGGGCCACTTTTCATATCTCAGGGCTGTCCAATGGCCCTGTGTTTTAAGAGCTCTGCTTACAGTCACGGTGTCTGCCTGCTGTGTCGTCACCGAGTGCCCCCTTTCTGAAGCCTACCCTTGTTGCCACATCCCCCTTCTGGCAGTCACTCTACGCACAACCAAAATTTAAGGTCAGAATACTCATCCTCCCAGGGACCCCGGCTACAGCTCTTTCCCAGATCGG